AATTTGGAAAATTGTTAAATTATTTTAAAAATGTTTAAATTAAGTATTTGATAAGTAAGTCATTAGCAGCTGCCCGAGTGCTCAGTCGTCAGCATGTTGATAACAGGGATTGTTGTTCATTTGCAGCCTGTATAATTAACACGGTTTTATGTCAATGTCAGTTCAATGCTGTGACCTCACTGCAGACAGATATTAGCCTAACGGCAAATTAAGTCCCATTCTCTCACTTCAGGCCGTGTCTTTTGAATATACAAATATAATGGTCATTTTTGCTATGATGCACGTCTGCCTTTCATGTGTCATTTTTCTGCCTGATAATTGTGTTGGTTCATATAAGGTAAATGCTGTCTGCTAATATTAGACATGATATTGGATATGACTGCTTGAGATCTTTTTATGAGGACAAAGCGCCCCGGAGCACCTGATTGGCTGGCTCCAGCAGTGACTGACTGGCCAACCCTGGACCCAGGAAGCCGGAAGAGTTGCAGCTTGTTTATGGTGTTAGGTTTATCTATTTGTTAATCGTAGGCAATTAAGCTAGTCACGTATTTAAGGAGCCAGATCCGACTGATGTACAAGCGCTGCTTTGAGTTTGATCAACCGATCACAGGGGGGTCATTTGGCCGAACCCATGGAGAGCCGTGCGCATACAAAGATGAATAATTATTGTGATTTATTAACCTTGTTGAAGGGAACCAAATCAGCCTACTATAGCACAGGCAGCTGATACCAAAAAACAGACGCTAGGACTGGAATGAGAATTTCATGAGTCCTTTGACATGTTTGTGACAATAATTGCCATATATGGCCATACCTTTGCTGATGGAGCCAGCCAGTGTGTGCTGCTCCAGTGTGTGCTGCTCCAGTGTGTGCTGCTCCAGTGTGTGCTGCTCCAGTGTGTGCTGCGCCCATGTGACTGTCTTTGATGTTTTTTTTTCTGTGACTTATAGCAGTACAACCATCGTCAACCATCAGCCAAGGCGTGCCGGCATCACCCATGTCACAACGGGACAGTCACATCTGTAGACTTTTTCAGCAGTCAAACAAAAGTGTGACGCCACATGGCAGTGACATGCGCTGGTGATGTGCACGGTCTGAGCGGGGGGGGGGGTGGCTTTCTGTTGCCTATTCTTAGTCAGAGCAGGCACATGTGCGTGGGCAAACACAAAAAACAGAGAAAACAAAGAAATCCTCGGCGAATGGACCTTTATGCACAGATAAATCATCCACTCATCCCTGCAGTGTGTTGTGTGGGCATTTTTCATCCGACGCAAAGCATCACTGGAGACCTTTGATGCTAAATAAAAACAACCTTTTAGTTTAGGAAATGGATGTGCTGCTGCATTCAGACCTAATTCTGACATTTAAAAATAATTTACTGTAGCTCCCCCCCCAATAACATCCACCCTCAACTAATTTTTTATGCATGTCCGTGCAATTTATATAGTTGCTTGCTGCCTGCAATTTCTGCCGGAATGTTTGTGCACAAATTGCACTGAAGTTTGTGTGGGATGGGGCTGGCTGGAGCCGGTACAGTCTAACTAGTTCGTCTTCTGATGTGGATCAAGGAGAAAGAAAATGTCCCATTTTTCCAATCCAAATATTCGGAAAGGCAGAGCGCTTTTCCTTTTTTTTTTTTGAAGTTTCCAAGGCCTTAGTCAGTCTGTGGAATGGCACGTCTCCCGGTCACATGCAAACAGTGCCTGCGACAAGGGTGTGAGACACACCTGCCCTTTATTGCCTCTTTGGACCCCCCGTCCCTATAGACCGGATATGGGGGGGGGGGGGCACAAGATAGGGAAGTAACTTGGGGGAAGTTATTTTTTTGAGGCAGTGGAGGCTGGGGGTTGAAGGGCAGAGGGGATGGGGGATGGGCAGGAACGCCATGTGCCGCCACAGACTTGGAGCTGTCAGGGCTGCCGAGAGATTGATGGCTGTACGGAGGAGAAAACAGCCTGCAGCGCTTTGCCAGATGCAGCTACGGATATTTCATGGCACATGGCTCCACGCCCCGCACCACTCTCACTCCAGCTGCGTCAGAGCGGCAAAGTGTGCTTTAATAACAGCCTTGGGTGCCTCTGTTATCTAAGCTGGCCCCTGGACGGCTGCTGTGGCAATTGTGGGCTTTGCAAAGTTGGGGGGGGGGGCTCCCATTCGAACGTCTCAGTGTGATGACCATGCTGGCCTGTCCCTTAGCATTTTGCATCATGGGCTGCTACGCTGTAGTTTTATGGTTGCATGCTGATGAGAAATTAGTACAGCCGCGACTGCAATCTGAACGGCCGCATTCCGAAGGCCCGCACTCCGAAGGCCCACAATCCGAACGGCCGCACTCCGAATGGCCGCACTCTGAACGGCCGCACTCTGAAGGCCCGCAATCCGAACGGCCGCACTCCAAAGGCCCGCAATCTGAACGGCCGCACTCCAAAGGCCCGCAATCCGAACGGCCGCACTCCGAACGGCCACATTCTGAATGGCCGCAAGCCAAATGGCCACCAGGCTGGGGGGTGAAGCTGCATGTAAACACAGTCGGATTACAGCTCTGTGCACATACACTGCAGGGCCTGAAAATCAGGCATACTGGGGAATATATTAGGCAAGAGTGAAGCCAAATGTTGCAGTAACAAGGTCGTAGGCCGCATATCTGGTTCGTGGCGGGGTCACACACATGGCGATGTGTGCCCTGCCCCAGTCCCTCTTTCTCACAGCACTTGTGTTACTTTCTGGGCTGTCAGCGCAGTCCAGACCCCCCGTGCATTCCCCTGGGGGGGCCGCCACAATGCCATTATCATCCATCGGATTGTGTTTGCCCATTACCCATTGGGGGCTGCCGTCTTGCCTTTTGTCTGGAGCGATTCCTCACCCTGGGCCCCCCCAGTCCGTCCCCTCTGCCCTCTCTGTCTGCTGCAGTCCATCTGCCCCCTATCCGCCCCCTCCCCCTACACACACGCGCACACGCACATGCACACGCTCACCACCAGCTGGCCATGCTGCCCAATCCCCCGGGATGCAAACAGGTGCAGGAGACACTCGGGAGGACACAGCACCTCTCAGACCTGCCAGCGCGACTCCGGAAGAGGACGCATGGTAATTGTTCTCGTACTCAATCCAGTCGCCTGAATAGATGCCACAGAGGGGGAAGTGCAGCCACTTGTTTGTTCTGAATGTGGAAGACGAGCAAACAGAGGTGCAAGTCTGTACTACTGATTAACGATGCTTTTGTGTTTCTTCTTGAAATAGCCATGCATCCTGGGTACCAGGACCTGTCAGACCTAAGATGACCACAGATTATTTGCACGTGGGAACACTGTAGTCTGACTCTAATCATTTGTTGTTCAAAACTTTAATTTCTTCGCAGATCAGTATTTAGTGAATTTTGTCAGCTTTATAGATCAAACACTTTAGAATGCTCAGCTGAATTACATTTTAATGACAGAAAATATGTACGTCTGTATATATGTGTATATATGTCTGTACTGCAGTAGTTTTTCCTAAAAGCTGTAAGTTTCATTTTCTGCTTCTCAATTCAGAAGAACGAAGATGCGGCAGATTTTTAATTTCCTGTGTTGCTGCTTGTGAGATTTCTTTCACTGACTGCTGAGTGTATAATAAGTACCTACAGGTGTGTGGGGTCACTCTACCTCGAGGAGGAGGGTGCATTGTGAAGGTCAAACGGAAACTTTGTTAATAAACGGCTTTAAAGTACTATCGTCCATGACTCTTGTCCAAGACAGGAAATGCAGACCCCCTGCCAAGAACAAATGTAAAACTATACAGACGCGTACGTCTAAAATAGATGAAAGGGAAGCTTGGATGCAATGCTAGGTTTGTCAATCGGCATTTTCCGATATTTTTAGCACAAGGCAGTAAGTTGGTTTTGGTGGTACGGCCCTTACCAATAGTACCATAGATATGACACACATTCAATAGTACAGGATGCCGTAAAAATTGTCTTTAAGGCACGTACATACAGCTACAAGTCCTTGTAAGTATATTTCTGTTCTAAAATTCCTTTATGTAGCAAGCAGGATCAAAATCCACAAGGCTAGTTCTGGCTCGGCAATCATGCAGTGATAAAAATCAACAGAAAGCGATATTCTGGCAACGGCAGCTTTACTGTAACAGGTTAAGCACTTTACACACAGGTCTTACAATTAGGCCCCTCTAGGAGACTTAAACCAATACCCACAAGGATACAGTCGGTCTATAAGGGCAAGATCAGAGTGCGCAATCTGAATATGAGAAGGAAGACAGTAAAAACATCATAGAAAATGTTGTTTTCTCAGCATAAATCCTTTATTGTGTTTTTGTTTCTACCTGACCTTGTAATGCACACATTTTTACTGAATTGTTTATAAGTTTCGCCAACTTTTAATTGATAAATAAAACATAGCTTTGTACTAAAAAAAAAAAAAAAAAACGAAAATGAAATGCAGACTTCAAAAATGTTGCCCTTGTGTTAGAAAGGCAGCTGGGTATCTGTCCTCAGAGGGTAACATCTGGGTGGTACAGTGGAGGATCCCACTGTGCCCCCCACCCCCACCAGGCTGAGAGCTGCGAGGGGCATATTGCTGACAGAAATACGCACACTGATTCAGGATATTCCCCGGGCAACGAGCCCGTTTTTCACGGACTGGACAAGCTAGGGCAAGCCTGATTGCATATTGCGAAGTGCCCCTCCCCCAGCACAAAGTGCACACTGACTGAGTTTTAAGTCTGGATAGCATCACATAGAAGGACTGAAAACGCACATCTCACATTCACATTGAAGTAACGATCTTTCAGTTCGTTTATATTTAACATTCCCTCTAAACGCCAAATTTGATTCTCCCTTTTCAAAATGACGTGCACAATTTCTGTGTCATGCGCCATTATATAAATATACACATAATAAACGAATAATGTGGTACCGTGTGTATCACTGTTGCGTCCTCGTGTTGGTGTTGGGTGGGGGGCTCCCTCCCACAGCCCGAGGAAATGCACTTAGGTAAATTGGTGTATTTTGTTACCCACGGAGTGTGAGTGTGTTGCGTGCGAAATACTGCCATAACATCCACGGTGTAGCGGTCCCTGTAACCCACTGCATAACCGGTTAGAAGGTTAAATTCAGCCGTCCACGTAACTATGCTCCTTATACTACAGTTCTTATGTTTATCTAAGAGTAAACAAAGTCATTCGGGTGTACACATCAGCATCTAACCATATTCTATCAAACTAGAGCATGTATACTGATAACATGAAGAAATCAGACACGCTTTTGTAGAAATAGTCGCAGTCTTGTGAGAACACGGCGAATCCAGGGCTCCAAGTACCTTGACCGACATTGCTACCCAGTGCAGACCGTGCAGATTTATTATTTTACCAATTCGCGGCAGCCAGTCCGCAAGGATTCAGCAAGAGCTCGGCGCACATTTGCATTACCATCAGACTAGCCTGAACTCCGGCGAGCTTTCCGCTGCACGACCATGGAGCGAGCAGCGCGGAGGAATACGCTGCGTAGCACAGGCAACTAAAAGACCAACTTTGCAACTACAATTCTCGGCGAAAAATACGGCGCCAGTGGTTATTCTCTCGTGGTTGTAATTTAAAAATTAATGTCCCGTACCGACTCGTACGGAAAACGTTTGGGTTATATTGAGCTGGATGGGAAAGTAAAGCGCACGGCAAGGCACTATATTTAGTGGCGGATTATTACTAGTTTCACTAGTGCAGAGAGGAGTTGTGGGGCGGACGTATTCTGTCTTGCCGAAGAATCGGAACGATCGAAGTTTCAGTCCGGATCGCGGCTGTTTCGTCCGACTTTATGTAGGTTTTTGCGGAAAAAAACAAACCCCATCATCGCGGTCACGACGTCTGAAGAAGCGGCCCCTGTGCTCGATCCCAGTAAAGCGGCTCGTAATTGGGGGAGGACATCGGCGAACTCAAGATGTCAATTTTGCCGTTTACCCCCCCGATCGTGAAAAGGCTCCTGGGCTGGAAGAAAGGGGAACAGAACGGACAGGAGGAGAAGTGGTGCGAGAAGGCGGTCAAGAGCCTGGTGAAGAAGCTGAAGAAGACGGGCCAGCTGGACGAGCTGGAGAAAGCCATCACCACCCAGAGCGTCAGCACGAAATGCATCACCATACCGAGGTAGGGCACCCCGCCGAGCCGGAGCCCGGGGCGCCGCCGCCGCCAGCTGCTGCTTCAGGGGCTCTAACTTTTTGACAGCGGCGCCTCCATTTTCCCCCTTCTGCTGAAGGTTACTAATGCTTAGGCTGCGCGTGTGAGTTGAGGGGGGCTTTAGAGTAATTTTGTTTCGGGTTTTGAGAGAAAGGACCATGTTTAGTTGTGGGAATAAATAGCAGAGTGGAGTTGGGGGGCGGCGCTGAGCGGCCGGACGGAGCTCCCCTGAAGCCGGAGCGTGTGCCTGTTACGCCGAGGCTTTCCTGTCTAAGGGCGCGGAGGGGCTCTGCGCCCCCCGGCGGGCCGTCGGCCCGGGCAGCCACAGCCGGCCTAGCGAACCCACTACGGGGCGGGCTGCTGCTTCACTGACATGGCAGCGGTACCACTTTTGACCCCCCCCCCCCCCTAAAAGCTCTCCGCCGGCGAACTCAATTCTGCACATTTTTTTCAGTGCAACTTGTTGCCTTGAGGGCGGCCGGGTAGCCGACGCGAGCAGCGCGTAACTCGGTGCCGATGCCCCGTGCCTTTTGAGACTGAAACCGACCCCCTGGACGAAAATTGCGGAATCTGCCGCTGTCTGAAGTTATATAATGCGCCTCTTATGTGGGACGGTAGCTTAGGCTGTATGGCGGGCTGCGTAGGCGTGTAATGAGGATCGCGCGTGTATGTATGTATGTATCTATCTGTGTGTGTGTGTGTGTGTGTGTGTGTGTGTGTGTGTGTGTGTGTGTATGTATTTGGTCCCCCCAGAGTACTTCTGACATGTTAGGAACCAGAGCTTAAAATATAATACGCTTATTCTAATATGCACACTCATTCACGGCTGTTGTGTTTTGCAATTTGGCTGGAACATTAACTTTCATTTGTGACACTGTCTGCCACCGCCCGCACCGGGAGCTCATATAATTTGGTGGCCCAGTGGAGTAATTTTAATGTTATTTTAATTTCTCCAGTCGCTGCTTCCACATAACCCAGTTTCGGCTCCGTGTGAAGTTGTCACTGTATATCACTGTAAGCCGTTTATGTAACGCGAGACTAATCACTGCAGCCGGCCTCGTTCTGGAGAGAAGGCTCACGCTCCCTGATTTCCTCCCCATTTCCGTACTGTTCCTCGTTATACCCGCTTAATGCGTCTGAACGGGCCGCCGATGGTGACAGTGTGATTCAGTCCGGCGTAAGTGGCACTTAGCTTGACTGCGTGAAATTGTTCGTCGTGCTTAAACCGCAAGCAGCACTTGCCCAAAAAGTAGCCGTGAGATTTCGACCTGACTCAAGCTGAATTATACCCCCGGGAGGAACGAGGCCGTGCCGGAGCCCCCGAGGGTAACCGTTTGTAGTCACGCGTTTTCCCTGCTGGTTGAGCTGATACTTTGAGGGCTTCACCGACATATTACACTTGTGGCTTTAACCACAAACGGCCGCCTAGCTAAGCCCCTGTGGCAGGATGGGCTGCCTATTTTTTCTGTTTCAGCTTTGTCTGGGTCTTAAAAGGATTGTTGTGCTGTATCCATAATTCCTGTTAGGAGGTTGAATATGAAGTTTTTCGAAGTGCTGATTCACTTCACTCAGTCACAATCAAAGACAATGCATTAAAGTTATTAATAGCTAATAATGTATGAATAACTGAACGAAAAAAATATAGCTTTTTCTGTTTGACAGCTCTATCATATATTTTCAGTTTCATTCTCTGCTTTTATAAACGTGTATATATTTAATGCCATTAAATATTGCTCCATTTCTACCCTTAAATACCCTTAACATCAGAGCTGTATTCCTGTGTGTTGTTCCATCTTATATTTGCCCCGAGCCAGCTGACCACTTACTACCTGAACACCCATGTTGAACAGCAAATCCAGACCTTCCAGTTGAGGCCTTTCTTATGGAACTGATGGATTTTATCAAATCATTTTTAAGTCTCTTCTTTCTTGGCTGGCCGATGATTTTCTGGCCAGGTGGGGTTCCTGGTTTCAGGTGTGGACTGAGATGATTTTATTTCATTTTTGTTTGACAGCAGGTTAGAGCAGGGGAAATGCTCTCTCGCTCTCTCTCTCTCTCTCTCTCTCTCTCTCTCTCATTGCAGTTTCAGTACAAGCTCACATGGAGAATGCCCAGATGTCACATGTCAAACCTGAAACCCACAAAGGCTTCACAGAAGATGTATAGCAGAATAACAGTATAGATATTTACTTTTTGTTCCTTTTTTGTGCATTGAGAGAGAGGTGCACAGCTGGGTAGATCCTCTAATGTTCAGGGATCAGTTACACCATGCTGCAAAGCTGATCAACTCAGCAGCAACACTCTGTCTCACAACACCAACTGAAAACCGTCACGCAGGTGCAAGACATCATAAATAATAAGGGTTGTTTCCTGTCACATTGTGCTGGAGTTTTCATCGGTTGAATCGTTCTTTTATTGGCAAGTAAAAGGGGGGGGTGATTTTTGTTTTTGGTGCAGATATCAGCATGCTTTACCTGTGTATAATGTTTTGTCTGCTTCCAGGTACTTTTCATTTTCACATAATCATTAAGTTGAAAAGGCCTTTGAAATTAAATGCCATTTATGTTCATTAATTGACCATTCATTTGAAATTTCAAGGCGGTCAACATAACATTGTTAAAGAAGTTACCAGACTGTCACGATGCTTTAAAATATATTGAAGAAATTTCTGCAAGTAAAAACAAAACGTCCTTCTGGCTAAACTAGATGGTTAGAGGGCTCTAGTTGTTGGGATTAATACGCAGTGCAATAAGCAAAAAAAACAAAAAAAAAATTACTGCTGCTAATTTTTTTTTTTTCTTTTCAAAGACTAATGTTTAAAATCAGCAAAATGTAAATTTTCTGTTTTCCTTACCCCACTGCGGAGACTCCCTTGGGTTGTCCCACAAATTATGTTTTTAGTGGGGTTCTACTAAACCAATGCTGCTTAGTGGGACCAGTTATTTTCGTTCACCGGTTAGGGGCACTAATGATTTGCAGGCTCTTGTTTCTTTTAACAATTTTGTGCCTTCTTTTTAAGTGCCTTGCTTAAACTACTCAAATTCTGGTCCTGTTCCTATGTTTAAAATGTTTGCGTGCATCCCCAGATCTCTGTAACCTGATCACCTAGGCACTCCTATTACTAAATGTACTTCCAATTCACTGGCGTGGTCCTATGGCAGCTGTGCAGGTATAGTACTGTGCAGTGACAACAACAGCAGTCGCAGGCACAACAAGTGGCAACAAGCACATACCAACAGATAGCAGCCTGGTGCAGCAGCAGAACTGGATCTTGGGGGAGGAGTTGGGAAAATTTCACTAGAAGTACAGAAATTTCCAGCTGTTGAAATGTGCAGATTTGAAATCATTTATGCATTATGTTTCTGGTCCTCCATATGCTTTAGAATGAATGATTCCTTTATATCAGAGCCCACTTTGTTCTGCGAACATTGCTTAAGTGAAAGCTTGTCTAATGAAAATAATGTACTGTTATTTGCTATGTTATAATTTTAATTGGTTCCAGAGGTCCAGCATTACACCGCAAATACCTCAGATTCACATTCAGACAGTGCTGGATGTTTTTGAAGTGTGAAGATGCGAATTATCCAGATTCAGTGCTGCCTGTCCCCTTTGATACAGTTGATCAACATTTTCTGAAATAACCACACTTTACAGCAGCTGAGATCTTGAAATTGCTCGGGGTCGCTGTACTGGTTTTTTTGTGCGATGACATCTGAACAAACTGATTGAAAATTTTGTGAGAGGAAGGAGCTCTTATGACCTGTGATCAGCAGTTCGCAGAATATTATGAATTTATTTAATCTATAGATGAAAACCGGTTGGGTGTTTTCCTGTATGACGAGAGATTACTGTACTTTGACATAGTATGGATTTTTTCCAGGGGTACTGAAATGATTGCGTAACTGGTGTGTTTTTAAGTTAAGCTTTTAACCCACAAGGTATTGGAAACTGGAATGTTTCCAAAATGGAATTCTTATGGTAAGAATAGGTGCCTTTGCCTTTATTGTTACATTGTGGTATAATGGTAGATGTACTGTATATTCCCCAATGTCATATTGTTTATGCTGTGGGACATGTTTCTGGCGTCCCCTGAACTTAAATCTTTGCATTAATGTAAATGGTCTGTAGCTTCAATAGGGACTAAAATGATGCATGTCCAGTATGAATGGAGTGATTTATTCTCCATATATATTATGGGTGAAAACATGACTGGCAGGGGGATGATAATCATCAGCTATATAGCTTGTAACTAGTTAGCTTAAGGCTGCAGTTTCAGCTGATATAATCATTTAGTTTCCAGTATTATCCGGGTGGTTCCGCTTTATTTAAATATTCATGTTATGTATGAGTTATCGTTAAAGCTGCAGTATTTGTGCAGTGTCTGCTAACTTTAACCTTCTTTATATTCATGGAGCAGATGATCCTGCCTTCTGCTAGTGGGTGATTGCTTGCAAGACCTTGTCGCATGTCTTTAATGTTGAATGCTAGATAGTCTCACTTTTGGGAAGAAACCAAAGCTTTTGCCGAAGGTCAGTTTTATGCTGAAACATGTTGCCAGGTTCTGTGCTCAGAATGGTATGCTGACCTCACTCTTTTGTCTTTGTAGATAGGAGAGCATGTAGTCCGCTTAACACAGCTGAAGACTTGAAAGCCCAAATCTATTAATGTATTTCCTAACACAATCACTTAGCCTGTTGTATTAATATCTAAATCTTAATTGCGGGAATATGAAATTAAAGATCTTAAATTATTCTTAGCTTTACATTGTGCTACTTTGGATCCTCTGACTAATATTTGATACACAGTCCACTACGTTAAAATATGCTTGCTTACTGGTGCTCAGCTCTCCTTTTTGTCTTATATTCTATAGCTAGTAAACATGTAATCACAAGAATTACAGGAGTGTGCCAGCGGAGGTAGCTGTAGGTTGAATGGGGTTTTGGAGAACAAAATTGTGTAGAATGAATAAT